CGCCATGGCGAACACATCCGTGACATGACCTTTGCCCTCTCGGAGATAGACAGGTGGTCTTTCACGTTTTCGTACCTTGTGATGTACCTTGACCCCGGGATGGAGTACAATGTGTTGATTAGTGCGATGACATCAGCAGGGGAGGGGCCTCCCGCTAGGATTGGACAAAAGACAATGAATACTGGTAAAGACACTGCATGATTTCAATGACCTCATCCTTGTAATTGTATATAAGGGCTAAATTTAGAAATGTTACTAAAGACAGAACAAAACAATAGGGGCACAGTGAAAGAATGTAATTGACTTCCGTTTTTAGTAAATTTGGCCCTTTTATACTACCCATTCCCTTTAAGAAGTGCAAATCCATAATTAGTCAATAATCGTTCTTTGTTAGCAGTTTGAATACATCTCCCTCTCATACTATGGCATCGGTGCTAACACACTAAGCTTTCAATTGTTAATTGTTATGTTCTCTCTCTGTCATGCAGTACCAATGCTTGTTCCTCACGAAGTGACTGGTAATATTGCCTCCTTCGTTAGTTCCGAACCTCCCGCCTTCTCTGTGTCCTGGTCGGTACAAGACAGAGATCATCACCTCCTCCACAGTATAGCTGGGTTCGTCATATCCTGCTACGCCAACCGCACCGCCTCAACGGAGCCAATCAGAATATCAGAGCCTCTATTTGTCGCGGGAAGAACCACCAACTTGCAGGGTCCGTTGTACGGACTGGTCTACTTCCCCAACACCTGTGGAAGTGGAGTCAGCCCTGAGGTTGAGTGCAAAGTAGCTGCCTTCAACTCGGAGGGAGAGGGAAGGCAAAGCGAGCCGGTACTACTGGCTTTTCCCTGCTCTTCTGGTGAGATCAAATAAATCAAAACATGCCTCTCCTCTCGTTCCTTGTTCTCTCTCGTAAAGGGAATATGATAAGGACAGTAGGGCCCAAATGCAAGAATTAAGTTTCCATTTATAATGAAAAGCACTAAAGTGCAAACCCTCGGCACACTATATAGAAATGTGGAACCCATACACAAGTGTGGCACCACCACAATTGATGGTCTTGACCATGCATCAAAAAGAACAGCATGTTATGCACTATTTCCATGGATTATTTTCAAAAAATGGCAAGCCCCATTTCTGTTTGAGGCCAAAAAATATATAAGGTTGAAAATTTGCCAACCTCTCTATTAATTTTCGGATTACCTGTGGATTGTTTAGTGCAAAAAAACAAATCTAAGGTTGGAAAAAAAATTTTTAAAACGGCCAGCCCTTCATCTCTCCAGACAGACGTCTACGGACGCAGTGCTATGCCCAACTGTACGCTGCCCTTTGAGAAATCACAGGACCTCACGATCAAGAGAGGGGGTGCTTATCCATCAGACCACCACCATTACTTGATGGGAACAGTGTAAATGAAAAGCACTAAAGTGCAAACCCTCAGCGAAGTAGGCTCGCAGAGAGTCTGACACGGGCTAGCTACAGTAGTAGATAGCACGCGAGAGTCGATACACGCCATTCGTTGTGACTTCTTATGCCTTCAAGATAATAATAGACAGAGCAAGCGGACCCGGTCGAGGTGCCTAGCGCCTGTGCTAAATATAAGCGCATGCGCATTATCCGCCAGCGATAAAATGGCGACTATACCGGCTGGAAGCGCTCTAGCTCTGCAACGGATCATTTTCAGAGAAAACCCCACATATTTTCTGACCCTCGTCGCCCGTTGGGTAGATGGTATCGTTTCTGGGACCAACAGACACCCGAGAAGTGAGATTGAGAGTAACAGACAGACAGACAACAGACAAACCCAACTACAGAACCCTCGCTGCGCCGATGCCGATGGGCACTAATTGATGGGTCAAAGAGAAAGTCGGCTCGACTGCTGTATTTTCTAAGGCGTCTTTCTATGCCTTAGCTCTGTGACTGACACTGTTTTGTTCGTGTGTATGGCGTGGGAGACCCTCTGACGGTGTGGGGTGCCTACCAGGGATTTCGAGCAACAGGCAACTGCTAGACGCGGACACGTGGCGTCTGTATCGTGGACGTCATGGTGGGATGGGTAGCCCCTTTGGTTCGTGTTGCCGACAGTCTGTGATGGTATCTCACCTCTGCATCGCCCCCGCAACCCTGATCTACGGTGGTATGAGGTTACAGGCAAGTCAACTTGAGTGACTTCAGCCCTGTTAGACACGAACGCGTGGCATCTGTTGGATGTCATGGCGGGATGGGTAGCCCCCTTGATTCGTGCTGCCGACAGTGCTGTCTTTGCCTATCACCAGACTTGCCGTTCTCACCTAAACCCCTATGTCTCTCAATGTTCCATTATTTTTTGTGTGCGTGTTGTGTTACGTTTGATGATTGATTGAATAACAGTTTCTAAATTTAGCCCTCACGTACCTACTGTCACAAACCGACTTCATGACTGATCCACAAACAGATTCATGCAAAACACTACAAGATCATTTCACTCTCTCTCTCCTCTCCTCTTCCCCCTGCAGAGAGCCCAGGAGTGCTGGAGTCGTCATTTCTCTCCAACGGCACCTCCTCCCTGGCCCTGGTTCTCTCTTTGTCCCTCCTGGTGCTGTGTCTCCTCTCCATCTCCCTCCTCCTCTGTATCCGCACTCCCTGCTCCAGCAACCAGCAGCGAAAGAAGATCTCAGACTCCATGTCCGTTGGTGAGACGGCCAAGATTGATCGCAACCATTCATACATTCAGACGGTCAAGATTGGTAGCCTCAGATTGCAACCATTCATACATTCAGACGGTCAAGATTGGTAGCCTCAGATTGCAACCATTCATACATTCAGACGGTCAAGATTGGTAGCCTCAGGTTGCAACCATTCATACATTCAGACGGTCAAGATTGGTAGCCTCAGGTTGCAACCATTCATACATTCAGACGGTCAAGATTGGTAGCCTCAGATTGCAACCATTCATACATTCAGACGGTCAAGATTGGTAGCCTCAGATTGCAACCATTCATACATTCAGACGGTCAAGATTGGTAGCCTCAGATTGCAACCATTCATACATTCAGACGGTCAAGATTGGTAGCCTCAGATTGCAACCATTCATACATTCAGACGGTCAAGATTGGTAGCCTCAGATTGCAACCATTCATACATTCAGACGGTCAAGATTGGTAGCCTCAGATTGCAACCATTCATACATTCAGACGGTCAAGATTGGTAGCCTCAGATTGCAACCATTCATACATTCAGACGGTCAAGATTGGTAGCCTCAGATTGCAACCATTCATACATTCAGACGGTCAAGATTGGTAGCCTCAGATTGCAACCATTCATACATTCAGACGGTCAAGATTGGTAGCCTCAGATTGCAACCATTCATACATTCAGACGGTAAAGATTGGTAGCCTCAGATTGCAACCATTCATACATTCAGACGGTCAAGATTGGTAGCCTCAGATTGCAACCATTCATACACTTTCCATACAAATTTTCGATGAGGTAATATCAAATGTAGCTGAGCAGTAACCTATACCAAAACCAAATTGTTCAAGCATATAAAACTGTCAAGAACAGGTGCACTTTTTCAGTGTACATGAGCATATTTGTGATGCAAAGTATATACAAGAATGAGTGACATATTTTGTGTTAATCTGTTCATTCAGATGATAACTATGTCCCAATGGCCTCCACTGAAGCTGGCATCAAGTCGCGGTGGTCAGGTAAGAATTATTACCAATGATGTCATCATTATGTAATCCACCACTCGTGACCAACAGTGGAGAACTCGTCGGTGGTGATGGGTCCTCGTACCAGCTCAGTGGGTGTGATCCTGATCGACCCCCCTTATGACGAAATCCCGGCTGACCGGACGGACAATCTGTATGACGAGATTCATCCTCGTGTCTCGCAGCTGGCCGGCTCCACCAATCAGCTGGACTCTGGCTCTTCTCTGGACAGTACGTATACTATAATAATACTGATAATAATACAGTGGACTATGGGTGTAATGCTAGTCATGTGTATAGCCCTTCTGAAGTGCTGTTTTCTTTCTCTTTTCTCGTATATAGCGTGAGCTGTTCAGTTTTCATGTGACTTGTGGTCGCATTGCCCAAATACTATTCTTCTATACCTCACTGTATCTTGCAGTTTAGTACACAATTGAGACTATACCTTCTATACCTCACTGTATCTTGCAGTTTAGTACACTATACCTTCTATAATCACTGTATCTTGCAGTTTAGTACACTATACTTCTATACCTCACTGTACTTGCAGTTTAGTACACTTACCTTCTATACCTCACTGTATCTTGCAGTTTAGTACACTATACCTTCTATACCTCACTGTATCTTGCAGTTTAGTACACTATACTTCTATACCTCACTGTATCTTGCAGTTAGTACCACTATACCTTCTATACCTCACTGTATCTTGCAGTTTAGTACACTATACCTTCTATACCTCACTGTATCTTGCAGTTTAGTACACTATACCTTCTATACCGTCACTGTATCTTGCAGTTTAGTACACTATACCTTCTATACCTCACTGTATCTTGCAGTTTAGTACACTATACCTTCTATACCTCACTGTATCTTGCAGTTTAGTACACTATACCTTCTATACCTCACTGTATCTTGCAGTTTAGTATCTGAGATTAGCACAAGCTACAAACAGAGTTATAAACAGACTTTAACCTGTGCCTATGGACCTTACTCCTGTGATAATGGCCCGATCTCTCAACCCACAGGACCTAGCACCATTCGTACAGGCCACACACACTCCCAGCTGAAGACTGCATCTACAGACAATGCCAGTTCCAGCAGTCAGCCGAGTCTCCAGACCATTCACTCCCGCTCCCCCATCCCACGCTGAGCCCGGAAACCGAGATTCTACCATGACGCAATATATTGAACTGTCTCGTCTCTTCTAGGAGGTGAAGGAAGTAATGGCAACGTCATTCGCTACAGCATGCAGACCAGCGAGTCAATATGACATCCACCCACATGGAACCAGCGGTCCGAACTCTGGGCCACGGAATGGAGACGTGGAACATGTCAGGTTCCGACGCTACCCGTACTTTGTGACCCAGATTCCTCCGAGTGGCTCGGGGGTGGTGACACGAGACGAAGACTCCGAGAGTTCGTACTACAATACCATGATCCCATTCTCGGTTCTCGGTACCGGCGACAAGGAGGGAGTGGAACGGAGTGGGGACACGAGAGGGCTGACTGATGTGGACACTGAGAGTGGAGTTGGAATGGAATCCCAGGTATTTGGTTATGGGCTTTCACCTCCATTTCTTGTGGAACTTCAGTTTATCGTGACAACTCACTGAATTGTGCTCTGTTTTTTAGTTTACACTTTAGATCAGTGTTCTGTGTAATACATACATTGTCTATAATTGATAAATATGCATGAATGATCATGCAAGCTACATTCAGGTTCAGAAACGTAATTTGCTACATTTATATATATATACAGGTGTCAGAGAGGAGTACAACGGGTCAGTGTTCGATGGAATGTGGCCATCAGGGAGGGACGACTGTGATATCCACGGTGGGGAAGACAGAGAAGGGAGGGAGAGGGAGGAGAGGGAAGAAGAAATGGAGCGGAGTTGTCGAGAGGGAGAGTATCTGTGAAGATGGCATGGGAGGAGGGAGGGAGGAGAGGAAGAGGGGGAGGAGGGTGCGAAGGAAAGAGGAGAGAAGGACGGCGAGAGTGGAAGCGATGATGAGGCTGAACCAAAGGAGAGTTGAACTGTGTACCAATAATCATTGACTGTGAACGGAACTGCTTCAATGATGTATAATCTGCACGTATTACATGTTTCGCCTTATGCGCATGCGCAAAACGATATACACGTTTACCGCAAACAGATGTTCTTCAGAATTTATGCAAGATGCGATAAACGTCGGTTTGTGCACTGATTACTCGCTCTGTCTCGTTTTTGTGGGCCGACCAATCTTGGTATATATAACACTACTAGTCGCCGGCCGGTGTTCGATGTGACACGTGAGAAAATGGCTGGAAGGTGCAGGTCTCTCGTTCTTCTTCTCTTTATGCACGTCCTGTCAGGTCAGTAGCATCTCATTGAACTAGCTATGGCCTTGCTGCATGTGCTACGTACGTGCATGTGAACATCGGGGTGAACTGTATACGGCTGGGTTCATGCTAACTCGTTCCCCCGAAAATATGAAGTAGAGATGCAAACAGTAGCATAGCTGTGTAGCTAGCTAGAAGGCTTGAGCTCGAGTACTTGGGATGCGCACGTTGTGCACAGACGTGCATAATGTTTACTGCTGTTTAGTGAGTGCATGCAATGCATACTACTATACTATACTCCGTACAGCTAGGTCACACGTTTTCTGTTCCATACGTAGCTTAAATGTCAGATGTGCCACAAATTGCCATACATACCAAGTATCCCTACCCAACTATAACTGCTATGGCTGCGCAAGCTCAACATAATTATATACAAGCTAGATACATGTACCTCATTGAGAATATTCTTGTATGTACCTTTGCAAACGTAGGACAGTTGAAAGTGGGGGGAAAGTAGCACTTAGTTGGGGAAGGCCTGGGAATGAGGCTGAGTTTACTGTGGGGAGTTTTAAATGTTTGTTGCAGTAGTTTAACATATCTGCTCCTATATGAGCCTGGTATCTATTGAGCAACGGCTGCAGCAGACTTTGTGGTTGTATGTACAGTCGAGAGTTTCCCTTGTGTTGTGTGTTCAACTAGAGTTCTCATGGGTAAAAAATTCCCCTGTGTTATGGTGTTGATACACACCCAGTGATGTTAATACTACCTTTCTCCCTTTGCCTTCTGTTACTCTCTCCCACCATCTCTCTCTCTCCCTCCTTCTTACTCTCTCCGTTTCTCTCACCCCCCCCCAATATGGCAAACTAGTTAGTCAGTGTAGTATGCTGGCTTAGCTTCATTGTGACGATTGCCATTCTTTTTTTATTCATTCAGCTACGTACATAGCTATCATGTGACTAAGGATCACTGCTTACATGTAGAGCTAAAGCTTTCTTTTCCAGTCGCCACTTCCTCCACTGCTGTGTTAGTTCCAAGCTATACGTGTGACGCAGGAAATTATATGTAACTGATGGGAGGGATACAACTAGTTGTTGTTTTCGCAGCACTACATAGCAGTACTATCGCAAAGTGTATTATCATCACAGTATGTATACACAAGAGACCAGGTCTATCCACTAACACAGGCTCTGCACAGACTGTGCCGTGCTTCACTGGACTTGGTTGTGGTTCTGGTAGTGTTGGCCTACAGGTTTCAGCATTGGCCTGCTGTAGCATGGCTGATACTCTCTCATTCAGACGTACAGTGGACGCCGAATCATGCTTTACATGTTATGGTAAGCTATACTGACATCAGTGTTTGGAACTGATTTTTTTGGTTCTATCAGGGTTTGGATGGGTACAGAATATCAGCAGTGATTTGACATCAGCTGAGCCTCAGACTGAAATAACTGCTGTGGAAGGACAGACTGTCTCCCTGACACTTTTCTACACTAAGAATAATCCACCAAATTCCCTCCGAATAGACTTTAACATTCAGACCTCTGGTTCAGCAACAGGTATTTAGTTATGTGTTGTTTGTCTATTTATTAGATGACTGTTGTACTCTTTTGCATGTTTTGATGATTACTGTGTTTCTCCTACAGAGGGAGTGGACTATGTTGTCACTCCAGATCCAGCTAGTGTTTTCATGGACGAAGTGTCACTGCAGTTGGTCCCAGTCACAGTTAATGTCACTCTAGTCCCTGATGGTATAGGAGAAGAAGGGACTGAAGACATTGTACTCACTCTAGTGCAGCTTCCACCGTTCGAACCCGAGCGTGTTCTCATCAACCCAACAGTCAGGATCCGTGTCGAAGATAATGACAGTATGTATAATAGTAGTTGGAATTATATCACATTGTGATAATGCACTATAACCTTGTTCACAATCTCAATCACCACAGTTTCATACGTTCCAGATTAGAGAAAATAGCCAAAGAGAAGCCTTATATGTCGTCTTCTATTCTATCTTATCTTTTTCCTCCTTTCTTTCTCTGTATAGTTGAGCTGCTAGCCTACATACATTAATTAGTGACATGTTTTGTGCCATATCGGAGTGTTCAGTGTGTATGTCTCAGAGTGTCATTTTTCAAGCCACAACTTGGGTTCAACATGACATCCCTGCAGCTTGCTTTCCTTAAAAGTTTTGTGCAGATCCCGATGCTATTTTGAAGGCACACGGCTTTGTATCTATTCAGATTCTGCCAGTGCACCATCTTTAAATGGTATATAGCACACTGACTGCACAAAGCTGATGCAGTAGTGGCCAGCATGAGTGGGTGTGTGGTTTGCCTGCCTTCACTCTGTTTTGACAGCTAATGTCACCCTTCCCTCTGTACTCTTGCTACATGAAGGGTAGTACACTAGTGCAGGTGAAGTTTTGCATCCTATAAGGAAAGCATAGTAGGTCAAGGTTTAAGGGGAAGAGCCAGCAAACCCTTGTCAAGCCCACACATCCAATGGGCAGAAAATAAGGTCTAATGGGATAATGCTGCCACAATCTCTATAAGTAGCAATACATTTGTTGGCGAGCGAAGTGAGCAGCTAAATTGTTGCGTGTGTTTAGAATCACATACAACATTACTGTATCATAATGACTGAATCAGTTGTTATCTTTCATATTGAATTGCGGATTTGTTTCATTGTCACAGTTCAGACTGGGTTCAGGACGCCGGGGGATGGATGTATCCCAGAGGGTGTGTTGCAGGAGATCTGTCTGACTACTGTTGGATCTCCTGCAGTGGATACTGTGCTAACTGTCTCCGTCACTTATGACACTGCTGGACCTGAAGGTAAGGGGACCATGTAGCTACCATACATTTGAAGGATAAATCTCTTGGAATACATGGCAAACTTTGCAACTCCCTTTGGTGTAAAAACTATTGTGTTGGCCCTCCAACCACATAATGCACAAAATATTCCCACTGTAATAACTCCTGCTGGCTATATGTAGAAATACACAGTTTTGAATCATACTCTAATTTCAGTTTACAAACTTAGCATGAACACATGCATTATGCTGTGTTGTGACCATGTGCAGACTTCGATCTGATCACACCACAAGTGACCATCACTGAGACTATGACTGAGCCGTGTGTGAGTTACCAGGCCATAGCAGATGATCTGGGACTGGAGGGAGTGGAGAACCTCACTCTGTTTCTTAGTGGACCTCCCAATGTACAACTGACTACTGCCTCTCTACACATCTGCATTCAGGACTCTGACGGTAAAGACTATTACAATGTACATAGTCTCCACTATACAAGTAACTTTTTCGGCTATGTTTACATAGTTGTGCATGCAGTGGAAATGCACAGATCAGCCTTTGGTCTTTTCAGCATCATAATAATTATATTATGAACAGTCTCACTAAAAGTCTGATCCACAGCAGCTATAAAACTCAGACCAACCAGCCATACATTATTGTAGTTACTCACATAACCAACTACCCCACCTAAGAAAACTCAGTTGCACATTGCATCATCATCATCATAAACTATTGATTACTTGTCAGAATTGCTTGCTTCATCAAAGAGACAATTTTACTTTCATCTTTTTGTGATTTTCAAAGCTCTCTGATCAATAAAGGTTTTCTGTTTGCACTTCAGGTTGCGCGCATGCTACGTTCAGCGTTCGAGTCTTACGTAACGGACTGCATGCGCATGCGTGATCTGTTTTCGGATGCGTCCAAATTCTGCTGCTGCGAGGAGTGACACTTACTGCAGAATGTCACTAACTCTTTGGGTCCACGCAACTGCCCTCCTTTATTGTACCTTCCTTCACCAAGGTATGGCAAACTAGTGTAGTATGCTGGCTTAGTCCCAGCGATCATAGTGGAGTCGTCCGGCCGAAGTTAAATGATGGGAGGGCTACAACTAGTTGTTTTCGCAGCACTACATAGCAGTACTATCGCAAAGTGTATTATCATCACAGTATGTATACACAAGAGACCAGGTCTATCCACTAACAGGCACTGTCCCGTGCTTCACTGGACTTGGTTGTGGTTCTGGTAGTGTTGTGGAACAGGCTTCAACATTGGCCTGCTGTAGCATGGCTGATACTCTCTCATACAGACCTACAGTGAACAGCGAATCATGCTTTACATGTCATGGTAAGCTATATTGACATCTGTGTTTGGAACTGAACTTTTTTGGTTATATCAGGGTTTGGATGGGTACAGAATATCAGCAGTGATTTGACATCAGCTCAGCCTCAAACTGAAGTAACTGCTGTGGAAGGACAGACTGTCACTCTCACACTTTTCTACACTAAGAATAATCCACCAAATTCCCTCCGAATAGACTTTAACATTCAGACCTCGGGTTCAGCAACAGGTGTGTGTATGACTGATTTTACCAACACTTTATGTATACCCTGTTCTACTGGATTCTCCTACAGAGGGAGTGGACTATGTTGTCACTCCAGATCCAGCTAGTGTTTTCATGGACGAAGTGTCACTGCAGTTTGTCCCAGTCACAGTTAATGTCACTCTAGTCCCTGATGGTATAGGAGGAGAAGGAACTGAAGACATTGTACTCACTCTAGTCCAGCTTCCACCGTTCGAACCCAAGCGTGTTCTCGTCAACCCAACTGTCAGGATCATTGTCGAGGATAATGACAGTATGTATTGTAGTAGTGGGAGATTTTTGTCACATTGTGATGATGCACACACCTATAACCTTATTTCGCAATCCCCGATCACCACCCAGGAGAGCAAGGAGAGGTGGTATGGGAGATGGGAATGGTTGGAGTCACGGAGGGAAGTGGGTCAGTGGAGGTCTGTGCCAACTACACTGAAGCGGTCGAGGGATTCACCGTGGAGACATCTACCACAGAAGTCTTTGCCCGTAAGTCTACTACAGCAGTTCTTTATCTTTCAGTCCTCTGCAGTTGCTATAGTTTTTAGAGTTCTTTACGGTTATTTTTCAGTCCTCTACAGTTACTAGTGTACTGTAATAACAGCAGCAAAAAAGTTTTGTGGTTTGAGAGCCCAACAGGTTGTAAAACTGTGTACAACTGCTGGCTGTTGTGTGTGGTAGTAAAGTTTGGTGGGCGGTGGCTCTTTGCTGGTGCTTTGATCTCACTCTTACTACCTCCTGCCTCCCTCTCTGTGGCTTTTACTAACTATTGAAGCGCTGACTACTATGGTTTCTTCTCACAGGAGTTTGCCGTTTTGGGTAGTATAGTAGACTTTGAACCCATGCCTGCCGAGCACTCTGCCTATACTGCAGTGTCATTGGTTCGAGTCCCTCCCAGCATATAGAAGACTAGCCTCTTAACAACAGTGCAGAGTAATGTCTGTGGCCATTAGATTAGTGGGGAAGGATATTAATGACTTACAGAACAGATGGCTAGACCTCATCTTTTATCTTCACGTTGGGAAAAACCAACATGTTTTACTTCCACACTTAGTTATCTTGCTATGTAGAGCTAATATGTTGCAAGAACTGAGAAAGAAGGCTTTTAGTGGGCGGGTGGGAAGGGTTAAACACAGAACAAGAAAGCCGTTGAATGGCAAGGGTCAAACGCAGGAAGAACTGAGCAAGAAATCTGGCAGGTGGGCAAAGGGTTAAACGTATCAATAACTGGTGAGTGGGCAGGTGGGCAAAGGGTTAAACGTAGCAAGAACTAAACAAGGATGCTGTTGAATGGGCGGGTGAGGAAAGGGTTAAAGAAAGGGAGAACTGAACAAGAAAGCGGTTGAGTGGGTGTGTGAGTAAAGGGTTAATCTAGCGAAAACTCAACAAGAATGCTGTGGTGCAACGGTCTCTAGTATACAACTTGCCCACAGTAGTGGGGCAGGGATTGAGTGGGAGAGATGGGGAGAGTAAGAACAGCTTGACTTATCAGCCGGACAGATGGATCCAGTCTCCCTCTATGTCAACTACATGCCTGCACTATAATAGCAGCCACATGAAGCAATGCTGAATGGGTATAACTGCACTGTAGTATGTCATAGTTTAGAGAAGGATGTGGTGAGCCCATGTGTTGACTGAATTGCATGATTATTGTGTTGCATGATTATTGCGTTTGTATGTTGCTGTTCTACTATTCGCTCACACCAAAAATGATGTTGGTGTACATTAGCATTACTAAGCAACTGCTTTTGTGCACGTATTCACTTAGTTATTGTTTCTTGCCTGCTGAGCTGCCCTGGTTTATATATATAGCACCATAGAAAAAATACTTTCCTTAAAAAAAATATTTCCGAAGAGTTTTCTTGTGTGTCGTTGATTACCTTGCAGCCTCCAAGGTCGAGGAAAAAAACTCACCTTCTCGCCTTACACCTCGCATAAGATGCTTTCTAAAACGAGAGTTTAGGACACTTACTAATGCAGCAATGCTATGAAGCTCCTAAGCGGTGGACACTTTTGAGGTTGACATAATTTAATATACACTAATGAATGGGTATGGAAACAATTTTGGAATGATGAACACATAACACAGTAAATGAAGCACTACACCACTTACAGTACCCTGAAACGAGGACACCTCTTTAACAAGGACACCTGTTCTTTCCCCAAGAACAGCTCTTGCACTGAATTTAACCCCTGAAGTACTAATGTGGACAGTTATTCTGTCACATTGGTGTCCGGAATAGGGGGTTCCACAGACATTGTGTATATTTATAGTGTGTCAACATCAGCAAAGTAGAGACTACTATAATATACGTAAGGCTGCTTGCAGTGTTGGATCATTCACAATGTTCAACGGCTTGTGATACAGACTGTTTGCCCACTCTTCGCCCACTCTGTGTGTGCTGATTGCATTCCTCTGCTATTCTCAGTTACCGTGCACTTTTGACCACGTGTGCAACAATCAGGCCAAGAAATCCTCATGTAGGACTCTTCAAACCAGTTCTTTTGCGTATTTTTCGGTTTTCCTTGCTGTTTTTTTCATCTGCTCACTGACCTCCTTCCTTTCCCCTTCTTCCTCTCTCCCTCCCCTTTCTTACTCTCTCCCTTCCCTCTCCTCCCTCCCCCCTCCCCAGTCAATGGATCAGACTTCCTAGCTCAGATAGGGCCCACGGCTCACCTGGTATGGAATGCAGGCTCCACAATAGCCTGTGTCTCCATTCCAATCATTGACGACGAGCGAGTGGAAAATGATGAGATATTTTACGTCAACATGGTCCGAATCGTCAACTCGCCCTCGGGGGATGATCCTCGTCTGGTGCCCCTGGCGATTATCATGATCATGGACGACGATTGTAAGCACGTTTATTGTTTACAGACACTTTGTCTCTAAGGGATTATAGAGTAATTAGTTTTTTTTTGGTATTTTTCGTAGTTCACCTTTTGCTTCTGGTTTTCTAACTAGTTCATGTTTCTTCTTTTTTTCTTCTTCTTTTCCTTCTCTCCCCCCCCTTCCTCCCTCATTCCTGCATCTCTCTTCCCTTTTCTCTTTACTATTTTCTCTTCCTTCCTTCTTCACTCCCTCCCTACCCCAGTGATTCCAATAGTTTTCACAGTAGACAGTATCGTCACCACCGACGACCAGCCAGCTGTCGAGGCGTGTCTTGAAGTCGATAACGAGCTCGTTGATGAGAATGTGGCCTATCGGATACCCATCGCCGTGGAAACTCAAGACGGAACTGCCCGTAAGAAATGATTGTTAGTGTTTTTTCAGGGAATGAATACTTTCAGCTAAGAATGTGGACCATATTTTACTTCAGTGCAAACCTACAAACCTTTTCCCATTCATCAGTTTGCCACACTATTCCAAAATCCTCATTCCCCCATATACCCAGAATACAAGTTTAACACTTGTACTAAACCTATTCCCATTCCCCCATCCCCACAATATGGTCAATGCAAATTTGCTAAACCTATTCCCCATTCCCCCACACCCAGAAGTTTCAAACCTATTCCCCATTCCCCCACACTCAGAAGTTTAAAACATATTCCCCATTCCTCCACACCCGGAAGTTTCAAACCTATTCCCCATTCCCCAACACTCGGAAGTTTCACACCTATTCCCCATTCCCCCACACTCGGAAGTTTCAAACCTATTCCCCATTCCATCACACTCGGAAGTTTCAAACCTATTCCCCATTCCATCACACTCGGAAGTTTCAAACCTATTCCCCATTCCCCCACACCCGGAAGTTTCAAACCTATTCCCCATTCCCCCACACTCGGAAGTTCCAAACCTATTCCCCATTCCCTCACACTCAGAAGTTCAACCTATTCCCATTCCCCAAATCAGAAGTGTTCAAACTATTCCCATTCCCCCACACTCAGACAGTTCAAACCTATTCCCCATTCCCCCGCACTCAGAAGTTTCAAAACTATTCCCCATTCACACTCAGAAGTTTCAAACCTATTCCCCATTCCCCCACACCAGAGTTTCAAACCTATTCCCCATTCCCCACACTGGGAAGTTTCAAACCTAGTTCCCATTCCTCGCACTCAGAAGTTCAAAACTATTCCCACTCCCACACTCAAGAAGTTCAAAACCTATTCCCCATTCCCCCACACTCAGAAGATTCCCATTCCCAATCCCACACTCAGAAGTTTCAAACCTATTCCCCATTCCCCAACACTCAGAAGTTTCAAAGTTGCATAACCATCCCATTCCAGAGTCTGACGTGGACTTCATGCCATTAAACAAACATGACGGGAGGGGAGGCCACGTAGAGGTCTCCTCACTCTCCAAGCCCTTCTCGTTGCTTCACCGTATCACTCCTCACCGCCAAGGACAAACCAATGGACGACGGAATTTCTTCCTTGCACGTGATGTCATGACGGCGCAAGGATCAACCCTCTGCGAGCAGATACAGCTGCCGCTGATCTAGAACTACACAATCCACTGGTAAGGATCAGTGCTCTTTGGCTACAGAGAAGTCTGAAATATATACCCATGAATTGTGCAAGTTAGAAAGAATATAAAGGCTTTTTTCAACTAATGACACCCTGTTCTTTCTCCAAGAACACACACTTGCATGCAATATTAATGAAGGGTTGGGAACCAGAACAATTTAACCTACAAAAGGTCCTTTTTTTACCCCTCTTGACATGATTAAAATGCGGTGACTAACTTGCAAAATCCCATATATCTCACTTTTTTTAGTATACCCTACCAATGGTTTTCAATTTTTGCACTGCTTGGGAAATTTGCAATACTTAAGACCACTCTGGTTCTCGGCCCTTCATTTAACCCCTGAAGTAAAGAAATCTTAGTAATATGGACGCTTTCTTCTACTCTGTTGGTATAGAGGTTCCGCTGTGCACTGAAACACATTCAATCTCACCATCCCCCCCTCACCCCCTCACCCCTCACAGCTGCACAGATCGAAGTTGGAGACATATCAGACTCAGTCCTCAGTAACCCTCTGTTCTCTGTGACCCTCGACATGAAGGCAGACGAAGATGACTCTTATCTCTGCTACGAAATCCACGGAGACTCAGGACTGTACCTGAATTTAGTCTCGACACTTGTTTTCAATCAACGCCGGCTACGAGACAATCGAAGGAGCCCCCACCTACAACAAGATCGATGCACTCTTTATAACAACATCAGATGCAGCTGGCGGGTGTAGTAATATCGAAATACTCTCGTCGGAGTCCTGCACGGCTGCGTATTTGGTCGGTAGTGACTACGGCCTGGTGCTACGAGAGCGTTACCGTAGGAACGGAGTCCAAGTCGAGTTTCTGGACGGTCGAATCGAGGTGACGTTGCCGTGCCAACGGTATCCAGGTGGGGGTATAAAGGTCGTCGTCAAGTGCAACGCGGAGTACCAGAACCCAGTCACAGAGGAGATGCTGCCGGTCAAGAATTTGGACCTTACATTCCGTCGCGGGAAATTGGCTTCTGATGCCTACCCCATGCCTCATGGTCTTCTTGGTGAGCAAAGGGTTAAATTTACAGTCTTTTTGGTGAGATGAGGGTTAAATTGATAAGGAAGTTGTTGTGTTGGTGAGTGTCCTGAGTTGTGAGGTGTCCTGATTAGTAAGGTGTCTTGATTAGTGAGGTCCTGTTTTGTGAGCTAGTATAGCGAGGTGTCCTGATTAGCTTGTCTTGACATGTCCCATATAAGTGAAGTGCCCTGATCAGCAAACACTTGACGTGTCCTGATTAGTGAGGTGTCCTGACTATGTTTTTAACTACTCTTTAGTGAAGTGTCCTGACTATGTTTTTAACTGCTCTAAGGTAATCACAAAACGCTGTATAACACACCACAGGTCAATTCTGGCGTCTGGACTTTGAACAAGAGCCATTCCGTCAGCAGTTTGTAGACGGGAACTCTCGCGAAAATGCCTTCGTCATGACAACACCGGTCGACCTCGGGGTGCGTAGTTTCGTCGGGATAATGTACCACCTCACCTGGACTCCGCGAAAAAGCAGTGTCTATGCCGGCAGTAGGCAAGCTGGTACGTCGCGCTATGTCACATCGCCGGCCGATTCCGTCATTGAGGGATTGTACCAAGACTACTCAGTGAGTGGACGTTTCGGTACCGACTATCAGTACAGCGTGTTTCCAAGGAACGATTTCAACTGTGAGACGCCAACATTTGGATAAGAAACGTCACAAAACACTTTTGATAGGTTTTCCGAGAGTTGCAAAAAAATTGTGAGACGGTGTCCCTGTACATGAAATTATAATTGTATGTATTTGTATAATACAATATGTGGCCCTTTACACAGACAATAGTCATTTGCTCTTTGACACAATCAGCACAAGAAGCAACCTTGTATGTACAATGCACTCCCAAAACAAAAACAACGAAATTTCGCATTTCCATTCACTTGCCAAATATCATTCTGGTATATCGAAGAAAGTTTTTGCATATTGTTGCTGAAGCGAAAACAAGCAACTTTATAATCTGCAGACCTTTACACTCCTGTTACACAGCAGAAAAGGAACGATTTTGCATTTTTTGTAGAGTCATGAACCAACTATCCTCAATACTTTAACTACAGTTGGAGCATGGAATGGTATAACACCCTCTATTTTGTGCACCTATCCTTATCTTGCCCAAATTTCGCTATAATAGCCCACTAAATAAGGGTGTCAACGATTTTGCATTTGTTGTAGAGTCATGAGTGGAAAAAGTAGATAAACCAACTATCCTTAATACTTTCACTACGGTTGGAGTATGGAATGGTTACATCTCGCTGCACCTATCCTATCCGCCCAAATGTTTGCTGTCCCCTCAAAACGGTGGTCAACGATTTTGCATTTGTTGTAGGACAAGGGTGAAAAAGAGACAAACCACTATCCTTAATACTTTTATTTAACAGTTGGAATGGAATGGTAACATCTTCTAAGTATCTTGCTGCACCTATCCCTATCTCACCAAAACTTCGCAAATAACGGTGTTAACGATTTTGAAATCTCAATCCACTGAAATTTCGCCATTTTGCACTCGCATTCACCGCCGAATGCAATCGTTCTAGTGTGTATATCGCAGAGAGTTATAAATAATTATACAATGTTAAACAAGTGAAAAATCTTAGCCTATCGATGGATATATAATAGACAAAAGTGAGGAAAAGAGTGATGTGGAAGGAGAATTTGGAACTGCGTAATGTTATAGCGGCCATGGGTCAGGGGGTGTGGCTTCTGATTGCTCCTCACTATTATTTACAACCGAGTGCCCATTGGGTGTGGCTTTCTCTGGTTTCCTGGCAACCAGGTAAACACACTTGTAGGTCATCTGAATCATGGATGCGGGGTTCTGTATGTAGGGACAGGGAACACCTCTCCTCTCTGTCTGCAGAAGAGAATAAAACACAACATAAGAATTGTTTGGCGGAGCGAGTGCCAGGAGTTCAATATTTTGTGCATGTTTGTCTGCTGAATGTAGAATCTACAGTAGAAGCATTACGGTATGTGCTAGTGTGCCGTCACATAATAAAGTTCCAGCATTGAAACGACTAGTAGGCTCGCTTTGCTCGGCAAATAAAGTTAGACAGGCAACTCCATGCAATCTACATTATGCCGTAGCCCGAGGACCCTTCTGAGAGGGCTTGAGGGCTTTGTAATGCCATGTGGGTGGGTGAGCTGTCAAAAACCAAACTGACTCCAATTGATCCACATGGGTGGCAAGTGTAGTGGCAGGAAATGGTGCTACGGTCAGAAATAATTCTACGAGAATTGGAAGACAGGCTCGGAGCTCTGATGTGTCACTATATGTATATGTACATGGGCAGGTCCTACTGATATGTAGGAAATGACGGATCATTGAACATACGTATGTGTAGGGAGGTGACACATCAACATGTACTGAGTTCTTCCACCACTACTGGTGTGTTCATGGTACATTAGAAACTCCACTTCACCTGTGGAAGACCAACTTCTGAGAAGTCTTTGTCACTCATCAACAACAGAGCTTCGACATTGGACTGTGGAGGAAAACATGTGGTCACAAACAGTAAAGGTGGCGACAATATAGGGCTTGTGTGGAGGAAATTTTACACGAGCAAGCATGTCAGTTCAAAGTATGTGGCCATCATCCATTGTACTACTGCATCATGTTCAGTAGGTCATCCCTGTCTTGTCTCCTTACTAGGAGCCTTTGTCAGCTAGCCGGCCACGTGGGTGCGCGCGCTCATTAAAAATGAGCATGCGCATTGAAACATCTAAACGTCACTTGGCAACGCTACACAAACCGGCCCTACTTCCTTGACAACTTCATTTTGTCTTTTTTTGCAGCAGCGCTGCTTTCGAGCAGAAAATAAAGGAGATTTTGTTGTTTAGCCAGTCGCCCGAGGACAGTAATGTAGTCGGCCGTCGTCTCTAACAGTAAAGTGCACGCTGTGAGTGTTGTCGCAGTGTATGTCGTAGTGTGTCCAGAGCTGAGGGCGAGCAGTAATGTAGCTAGTTGTAGTGTCGTCTCTCCCAAG